GATTCTGGGACAGCTGCATCTGGCACGGGCCTCAGGCTGCTTCTACTCCTGGCAGAAAGTGGCAGGCAGCCAGCGGGTACAAGAAGATCACATGGCGACAGGAAGCAAGAGAGAGGAAGCGAGAGAGAGAAGATGCCAGGGTCTTTTTAAGCATGGAGCTCTCGCGGGAACTAATAGAGCAAGGACTCACTCATGAATCCCCGCTCCCCCAGGGAGAGCATGAATCCATTCATGAGGGATCCGCCCCCATGACTCAGTTTCCAACACTGCCACATTGGGGATCAGATTTCCACATGAGTTTTGGAGGGGACAACACACCAAACTCCATCACCGGCTCAGCCTCCTGCCCTGGGCACTGCCCCTTCACACCCCAGACCCCACTCTGTAGGGCCCCAGCTGGCCCTGGGACAGCCACCCTTCACAGGGGCTTCTGCCTTCCCGGTTCTCCGAGGTGTTTTCCTTGCGAGCCGGTGAACTCAGGGCCCATGTGAGCTGCTGGGTCTCCTCCACTGGGAGCTAAGCCCAGAGGTCATGGGCTGCTTCGCTGCTGTGTCTGGACAAGTGTGTGGCCCTGGGGTGCGGGTCCAGGGCCGTGGCGGCCAGCTGTCTCTGCAGGAGCTGCTCACCACTTGCTTTCCTGTCCGCACAGTCCTCCTCATGGAGAAGTACCGGGAGTGCGGCTTTCCGCGGCTCTGGGCTGCTAGTGCCTTCAAGGGGGCCACGGGGGCCAGCCAAGCCCTGCCCCCCATCGAGCACCACCTCAGGAACCACGCACAGTGGCTGCAGGTGGCGGGCAGCGGGCCGGCGGACACGCTGCAGGGCATCGTCCTGACCGGCTGGCAGAGGTAAGCCCTCAAGCGGCCCGTCCTGGGAAGGTTGGGGGTGGCTCTCCACCCACCATGGTGGCCTGTCCAGTGTTGGGCCTTCTCAAGGTCAGTCACAAGGGAGGCAGCCTGGGCCCCAGAAGGAGTTGCAGGACACAGCTGTCGGGTTGAGCTCCTCACGCCCCTGTGGCCACCCCACGCTCTCCTGAGGGGATGACGCTCAGGTGTTCAGGGCCATGAGCACCCCCAGGTGTGCCACACAAGGCTGTGTTTGTGGCTCATGCACAGCAAGGCAAGGCACAAGGAAGGATTTGGGCACTTTCGGGATTTCGCTGCTTTCAAAGTCTCTGAAGTCCTGACCTTGGGTCCTGTCCTGTGGGCTGGCAGGGCGCAGGGGAGCCAGGCGGCTGGCGGCATCGGGAGGCCCGTCCCCTCCAACCCCACTGGCAGAGCTTAGGCTCAGATGAAGTTGTCAGGAATGTCAGGGTGGGGACCACAGGGTGATGTTCTGTTCAGTTTCTCGACCTGTTAATTCTGAACGTTTAGAATATACAGAAAGATGCAAAAGCAGGTGAAGCAGACGCCCGCTCACCCCACACTGAGCAGGCATGCTGACGCCGGTGGCATTCGCTCCGCTCCCGCTGTTCCTGAGCGGAGAGCCCCGTGCCGCAGCCACTGCACGGCTGGCACCTCCCTGCCTGCCTCCCCGCTGTCCCCCGGCTCAGAGGGTCACCCGCGTCGCACCCACAGGCCACGCTGGTTGGCCTCGGAGCCCCAGAGCGCTCCACCGTCGTGTAAGCGGCCGCCCCGCAGGCGGGTCCGGGTGGTGGCGCTGGTGCAACGCTGCTCCTGTTTTCTGTTTTCTGATTTTTAAAATAAGGAACATAGTTTACGTGTTTAGTGAGAAGCGCAGGCCTCACCCATCCCGAGGTGTCCTTGGGTCGGCACGTGGCCTGGCCAGCACTGCCTTGCGCTGCACCCGCACCCAGCGCCCCAGGGCCTGCAGCTGGACGCATGGCCGGCATGGAACGGCCCCTCCAACCGCTTCTGCCTGTGGTTGGTTTCAGGAGAATTTGCCGACTACGTTAAGTCGAGAGTGGAGAGCTTTCTGGGGATTTCGAGCCTGGACATAACTGATTCTGTGAGGTAGCCCCGCCCCTCCCCCACCCAGACCCATCCCCATCCCCATCCCCATCCCCATCCCCTTCCCCTTCCCCTGGGGACCTCGGTTCTCAGTGCGGCTCTCCCGCAGCGAGGGGGCCGGTTCCTTCCCAGGCAGCAGCATCCTCGCCCTTGTCACGCAAGTCAGCCTGCACCTGCGCAGCTCCGTGGATGCGCTGCTGGAGGGGAACAGGTGAGCAGGCAGGTGACAGTCCCCTGCCGCCCGGCACAGGGCAGAGGCTGGCCTCACCCTTCTCAAAGATTTTCTAGGGGGTAAATAAAGGTTTTAAAAGTTTCTGCCAGATCGTTAAGTGTTTCAGGGCATTACTGTAAAACCTCCCCTGGGCTGCCGCCTTAGCCGTTGTCCATGGCTTTGCTGCAGGTACGTGACTGGCTGGTTCAGCCCCTACCACCGCAGGCGGAACCTCATCCACCCGGTCATGGTCCAGCACATACAGCCCGAGGCACTCAGGTAACCCTCCCCCCTCGCTGACCCGGTGCTCCGGCCCTGGGCAGCCCGTCCTCCTCCAGGCTGCTGCAGCATCTGTCATAATTGGCTCTGAACCAAAACAAGCCTTCCAGGTGTTGCAGCCTTGCGTTCTTGGATGAATCAGTCCCTGCCATGGCATTGTTTGTTAACACTTCCCCTAACTTTAGCGGGATCCCCACATGCCAGGGCAGGCCCAGGGCTCATCTCTGGAGTCAGACCCCCTGGGGTTGGTCCTGGACCTGCCTGCACTGTGGGGACTGGAGTCCCAGCTGGCCCTCCCCTGTCATCTCCTGGTTCAGGGCTGAGCTAGCATAGACCACCCCACCAAGTGCAAGATGCTACCAGCTGTCTGGGAGGTTCAAGAGCCTCCAAGAAAAACTCTTAGCTAATTGTGAAATGTGGTCCAATCTCAGATGCTAAAACATGACAAATCCACTCATTTATTCGCCCGACAACCTGATGAGGTAGGGGCTAATAGCCCCATTTTACGGATGGGTAGACTGAGGCATGGAGCAGTACTGGCCCGTGGGGTTTTTGAGGACGCGAGTGTAGAGTGCGAGCTCATGGCAGCCGTCCCCCCAGCCTGCTGGCCCGGTGGAGCAGCCTCGTGCAGGAGCTGGAGGCCGCCCTGCAGCTTGTCTTCTACCCAGATGCCGTGGAGGAGTGGCTGGAGGAGAACGTGCTCCCCAGCATGCAGCGGTTGCAGAGCCTGCTGCAGGACCTCAGCCAGGCAGCTGCCCCCCAGCCCCCATCCACAGGCCCCACCCCGGACACTGGTTAGGACCCCTGAGCGCTACCAGCTGTCTGGGAGGTTCAAGAGCCTCCAAGAAAAACTCTTAGCTAATTGTGAAATGTGGTCCAATCTCAGATGCTAAAACATGACAAATCCACTCATTTATTCGCCCGACAACCTGATGAGGTAGGGGCTAATAGCCCCATTTTACGGATGGGTAGACTGAGGCATGGAGCAGTACTGGCCCGTGGGGTTTTTGAGGACGCGAGTGTAGAGTGCGAGCTCATGGCAGCCGTCCCCCCAGCCTGCTGGCCCGGTGGAGCAGCCTCGTGCAGGAGCTGGAGGCCGCCCTGCAGCTTGTCTTCTACCCAGATGCCGTGGAGGAGTGGCTGGAGGAGAACGTGCTCCCCAGCATGCAGCGGTTGCAGAGCCTGCTGCAGGACCTCAGCCAGGCAGCTGCCCCCCAGCCCCCATCCACAGGCCCCACCCCGGACACTGGTTAGGACCCCTGAGTGGGGCTGTGCTGTCGGCCTGGGCAGCACTTCCTGCCCCGGCGTCCAGCTGCCTCTGGCCCCACATTCACTTCCAGCTGAGCTCCAGGCAGCCCCCTCAGTGCAGACAGCAATCTCCTGAGAAAGAAAACTAGGAAACATCGAAGGAAGAGGCACGTGGGGACCTGTTTTATGATCTGCATGTAGAACTTTATTAATTTCTTTGAAATAAAAAGTGGATGCTAGAAGTCCCACCAACAGAAACTTGGAACATTCTTTATTATGACCCTGGTTTACAGTTGGTTTCAGTCAAGGCTGTCAAGTCCCTCCATCTAGGAAGGAACCCTGGCCCTTGGGGTGGGGTGGGGGCATCTAAAGTATCTTACAGCCTGGGGGCGGGGGGCAAACGAGAAACCTTGACTGCATTTCACACTTTTCATTTTAGGAAGGAAAGACATTTCAGATTTAACCATTTAAAGCCTATGGCATAAATGACTGTCCCCCAACTAGGGGCTGGCTGGCAGCCACTGCAAAGAGGGTCTCACTACTCTCCTGTCCTGCTCACCAACGTGGCCGGCCTGACCCGGGGCAAAGCTGTTCACCCTGCTGCACCCAGGGTGCCGAGGAGCCTTTGACCCCTGCATCTGGGCAACACTGCAAGCATTTCCAGTCCTACCTGGTCCTTCCCAGGTGTGCAGCCTCAGGAGTCCTCAGCTCAGAGGCCTAGGGGCCAGACTGGGCACTCTTGATGGGCACTGCCCCTCGGAAGGGGCTGGACTCAGGAGAAGACGCAGGCGCAGGTCAGTGGGGGCTGGCGTTCAGCCTCTATGGCGGCGGCTGCAGCTGAGACCTCAACCCCCTCCTGCCAGGTCCTCCCAGGGTTCAGGAGAGGCTGGAATGTGGTTTCTGCATAAGCTTTTGGGTTTTAAGCACTGCACAATACTAGAAGAGCTAACCTCTTCTCTCAACAAGTGGCTTCTGCCCTGGCTGAGGGTGGGCATTGGAGGAATCCTTTCGTGGCCAACAGCCCAGGGCCAGTCCTCATGGGACCCAAGATGAGCCATCAGGCAGCACATTGGTGTGGGGGAGGCGGGATCCTGGGAGCACGCAGAGCCAGGCAGGTCCTAGGTGTTCACCCCGCGCCCCCCACACCTCACCACCCAAAGACTGCCCTTGAGGAGGCCCCTGACTACTGAGGAAGTCCAATCAGGGAAGGGATGCTGCGTCTGGGGCAAGGGACACTGGGACAGCATGCCAGCATCAGTGTCCACAGAGGGACCTGACCCAGCAGTGGCCCTCCCCTCCTGCACATGGAAGTTGTGAGCTGAACTCCTACGAGATGCCAGGGCTGGCAAACCTGGCTTCAGGAAGTCCAAGCCCTGCACTGGAGAAAGCTCAGGCGGCCTCTGCATTTTGGAGACCTGGGGCAGGTCTGTCCAGACAGGGCCACAATGCCCAAGCCAAGCCGCCATCAGGTTCCAGGGAGGCGCTGATTTCTGAGCCCCACAGCCTGTGCCTCCCCTGGATATGGCGCTGGCCTGTCCTAGCCTGGGAGAAAGCCCAGCCCGCAGTCTCACACAGAAGATAGAAGCAGCAGCAGGAATGGGCCAGATGCAGACATTCCAGCCCTGGAGCCTCAGGATGGGCGACTCAGCCGGGGGCCCTGTCAGGAGCCAAGGCCAAGGGGCTTCTCTGTGGGTGGCATCTGTCAGTGCTGGCTCCTGGGGTCTTCAGCCTCGCTGTCACTGCTCTGAGACAGCTCTGTGGGGCTTTCTAGACGGTGCAGCTCCAGGAAACTGGCGATGAGCTTGGCAACGGCTTCCACATCACTGGGGGAGGCCAGCACCAGGACAGGCAGGTCACGTCAGCACAGGGCAGCCCTGCTGCAGCCAGCAAGACCCCCGGCAGCCTCACCCCCCACCATCCACCTCCAGCAGCCCCCAGGGCTCCCAAACTGGACTCAGCATCTCCCATCCTGGTCTCACCCTCACCTGGCCCCAGCCCAGTTCTGTCCCCAGTGGCGACACCTGACAGGTGGCCAGGGCTGCCATGAGCCTGCACGTCCTTCCCACAGGTCCCTTCATGTCTTGTCTACAAACTTTCATCTTCTCTCTCCCCAACACTGGGTGATCAGTAACGAGGGTCACCTGACAGGGCCAGGGGCACAGAGCTGGAAGCTCTGGCCAGATCAAGCTCCCGCCCCTAGCCGGGCCTTACCTGCGGTGGCCCATGACTGCGCTCTGGGTGAGGGGGTGGGAGAAGCCTGTCGCAAACCGGAGCACCACCATGTAGCCCTTCCCGAAGTACCGGACCTTCTCCTCCTCCACGTTCACATCTCGGATGTCATTCAGCAGGACTACCACTGCAGGGGGACAGGCCAGTGGCTATGTCACTCCCCCCCACCTCAGTGCTGCTGGGCAGAGCACCTCAGGACTGCCAGCTCTGTCCAGCAAGTCACACTCACACCAGTGGCAAAAACATTTGCTATTTCACATGCCCAGAGTACGGCCGTGGCCTGCCCACATCGGGTCACAACACGCAGGTACCCACAGCACCCAGCTGCACCCTATGTCTCTGCACTCCTCACACCTCACCTTGGTCGTGGCCGGCTCGGAAGAGAGTCAACAGCTTCTTGTAGAGGCTGAACGTCTTCAAAACGACCTTCCCGGTGCTCTTGCTGAAGATGGCTTCCTGCAAACCGGCAGGCGCTGACACGCAAACCTCCGAGTAGGGGCCGAGTGGACGCGGGACGCTCAGAAGGGGCCCCCCAAATCAGAAGGCAAACCCCAAAGCCCCAAGCTCTGCTCTGCCGGGGCCCACCCCTGCAGCCGGAGCCCTCCAGCCCGCCGGGTGTTGCAGAATGGAGAGAAAGCTGGGCAGTGGAGCAGGCACTCACACCTCTTTGCCAGCAAAACAGAAGCACAAGAGAGCAGAGGCCATCAAAAGAGGAGGCAGAGGTCAGGGGTCAGAGGACAGCAGCAGGCTAGGCGGCTCAAAGGACTCATGAAGGGCGCCGAGGGCTGGGAAGGGGGTAAGTCACTGGGGAAGGCAGACTTGCCCTCTCTGTGTTATGACAACTCTAGGAGTAAAGAATTTTGGTGAAAAACAGTCATGAGGCACTTCTAGAAGAAAAACACCTTCAGGAGAATTAGGCCCAGGCAATATCCAGCAGCCAAGTCCAGCTAAATGGAAACCACTAAGCTAAGACCAATGTTTCTTAATGGCGTGGGGACAGTAAGCCACCTGGACCCCTTTGATTCCCGCTGCTTTGATTCCCACTACAGGAAAACCTGGGAGCCGACAGCCCTGGGCTCTGAGATGCGCCCCCCTCTTGGGCCTGCATGGCCTTACCTCCCAGTCCTCCAAGTTCTGTACGGCCACGAACAGGCAGCCTGTGACGTAGAAGAGCTTCCAGCCCAGACTATCTGGAGACAGACATGGGACACCAGCTCTTTTGGGAGCAGCTGGGGCACAGGCAGCATGACCACAAGGAGGCCCTGCCCTGCACAACCTTTCCCAGACACTGCTTGTGAGGCCAAAACTGCTGCCCTGGCCCAGCTGACTCTGCCCTTGCCTGCAAGGACCCGCAGGCAGCCACCTGTGCTGCTGGCTGGCCCAGTCCTGGTCACCCAGGACCCACTTGCAATACAAGACACGCTCTGCCCAGCCCTGGACCCAGGACTCCACCTGAGAGAGGCAGGCAGGGCAGGGGCAGGACACATGATGGTGGAAGGTGAGAAGAGATGTACAGCTTGTTCCCGCAGCAGGATCTTAGGCAAACACAAAAAAGCATCTTCCAAAGAATATTTTATGACACGAGAAAATGCTCGGGATGTCAGTGGTGGGAGGCAGGCTGGTGGGACAGGTGTGGGGAGAAGAGCAGCGCATGGGAGGGGGCTGTGCACACCACCAATGGAGGCAGAGGTGCTGACCACCCCAAAGGCCACACCATGACCAGCCACAATAGATGGTTTTTCCTTCTTTTTTCTGTTTTCCAAACAGCTGAGCAACTATGGGGCACGGGGGATGGTGTTCTTTACCTGCACTGTAGTAGGCAGCAGCCAGGCCAATTGACAAAATTCCTGCAAAGAGAAAGCAGCACCTTCCTACTGGGCAAGGAGGACTCCCACCTCCTCCCCGTGCAATGGGCTCCCAGGAGCCGCAAAGCCAGGCCAATTGACAAAATTCCTGCAAAGAGAAAGCAGCACCTTCCTACTGGGCAAGGAGCACTCCCACCTCCTCCCCGTGCAATGGGCTCCCAGGAGCCGCAGCCCCTTCCCACTGCAGCTATGGATTAAGGTCACAGAGGTAGAAACCACCAGGTTCAGAGTGGGGGAAAGAGACAGGAAGTTTGCTTAAAAACATGGTGTACACCATTCACAGAAAGGAGCCCACCAGGGGTGTTACCCTCATGGCACATGGTGAGGAGTGAAGGCTGTGTGTGGAGAATCACAGCACAGCACACAGAGGAACACAAGGAGAAGGCCACATGCATGTCCCAGGAAAGGCGGGGCACAGAGGGCGTGGCTGCTGCAGGCTCACCTGGTCCGGTCAACACATGCGCAGCTGTCCCCGAGGCAGCAGGACTGCCAACGGCCAGGAGGCTAAGCAGGCTCATGAAAGGGACTGAGGGCCAGGGAAGAGGACAAATGGGAACCCAGGAGCCCCAGGATCACATATATCAAAGCAAGTAAAAAGGAAAATATGGTGACCTCAGAAAAGCATGCAGAGTATTAATGAAAGGATGTTAATGGTAAAGGAACAAAAATAATTTACAGAAAAAAAATTCTACAGAACCCTGTACTTAAGATAAAATCTAAGGTCATACAAAGAAGCCAAATAGTTGCTGTATTTTAGGGTAACAGAACAAAAGAGGAAATACTTGGTTTCATTTTCACCTTTTTTTTACAGTTACGCTTTTCTCCCCTGCTGGGGAGGGGTACGGCGAGGCTTACCGATCAGCAGGGACCAGGACCGGATGCCCGGAGCCCTCTTGAGATGGAGGCAGGAGCCGGTGCGTGTCTCCACCTGCATGTACATCTCTGGAACGTGCCAGCACCACTCTGGACAGGAGACCAGGGTTGGGGAAGAACAGACACACAGACAGTTGGAGCCCGCAAGGGCCCCCCTCATCAGGCCCACCCGAAAAGCCTCCCCGAAAAGGGCCCAGGAAACTGTCGTCCTGCCTGTCTCTGTGTCAGCAAGTCACTTGATCCCCCGGGGACTCCGTTTCCTCTGTAAGGAAGGCCCTCTTCCGCTCCCAATCACCCTGACTGCACTGGGGCTACCTCCCCCACTCGGACGGACAAAGTGTCGCCCTGACCGTCTACCTGCCCTGTCCCACCTGGGAACCTTGGTCTCCAGAAGCCGTTAGCCACCTGCAGCCTTCAAGCTTCCAGCTCGCTGCCAGAACCTACCAGAATCCCCTCTTGCCCTGTGCTGGCCTCCACAAGAGAGGGAGCCCAAAGTCTCGTTGGCAGGGACTGAGGCGGCCAGCTCTGCCTCCAGCCTCCTCCAGACGCCCAGCGACTGACTGCACACGAGGGCAGGAGGGACCGTGACCACAGGGACCAACCCTCCAGGTCCGCACACTCACAACACCGCTCCCAGACCCACTTCCGGCGGTGTCTCAGACGTGCCAGCGTGAGGCCCGATCAAGTTTCTGGCACTGAACACGGGATTCACCCACACAAACGAACCCGAGACGTCGGTGCAGGACTGGCCTGCCTCCCGGCCTCAGTTACCCATGCTGCTCCCCAAGCGCCGCGCGCACGCACGCGTGCACACAGTCCACACACGTCCACACAAACGCGTGCAGTCCACACACACGTGCACACAGTCCACACACACGCGTGCAGTCCACCCGCACTCACACAAGTCCACACACGTCCACACACACGCGTGCACAGTCCACACACATGCGTGCACAGTCTACACGCACGCGTGCACAGTCCACACGCACGCACACAAGTCCACACACGTCCACACAAACGCGTGCACGTGCACAGTCCACACGCACGCGTGCACAAGTCCGCACACGTCCACACACACGCGTGCACAGTCCACACACACGCGTGCACAGTCCACACGCACGCGTGCACACAGTCCACACACACGCACACAAGTCCACACATGTCCACACAAACGCGTGCACGTGCACACAGTCCACACGCACGCACACAAGTCCACACATGTCCACATAAACGCGTGCAGTCCACACACACGTCCACACACGTGCACAGTCCACGCACAAGTCCACACACGTGTGCACAGTCCACACGCACACACGTCCACACGCTCACACACACGCGTACACAGGTCCACACACACGTCCGCACGCACACACGCGAGCGTGCACACACCTTCCGCCGCGTCTGTCTCGCCGGCGCCCCGCTCCGACCCAGGCTCCGG